GGGGTTCAAAGTTAATAAATATGCCAATTTTTATACATTTCTAGGCATGTAAATATTTATATAGTCATTTTTAAACAATATTCAATGGAACTAATGGAAAAATACATACAAATATTGTTATATAAAACATTATTTAAATATCTTTATCAATAGGGTAGGTTAGGTTAGGTTATCGGGTTTTGTTCAAGTGACCACCCTCTTTCCATCCCCCACCTCCACCCGCTTGAAAATATTTTTTTTATTGAATTTTATTTGAATTATGGTGTATAAAAATTGTCAAAATAATTAACTTTTAACCCCCTTAACTTTTTATGGGGGTGAGACCGCCGCAATTTTTTTATGAGGTTTTACTCAAGTGACCACCCTCTTTCGTTGCCTCCTACCCCAACCCCCTTCGGCCATCATCTAACCCCCATAACTTTTTATGGGTGTGAGACCGCCACGAACTTTTTATGGTACAGTGGTGGGGGAGACCTCCTCTTTCAATCCCACCTGGACCTTTACCCTGTCTTTATTTCTGTTTTAATTATTCTGACCTAATGTAATTATAAGTATTTAGAAGAGATCCGCAACGAACAGGTTTTAAAACATCGTATGCTATGAAACATCGTAATGTTACGAAATGACAACACCATTACACTAACTATTTAATTTTGCGTCACATGATAACCTACTATTAGCGTCCTTTTATCATACGTGTTGCTGCATCGATTTGCTGTTTTAGACTAAATTTATTCGTCCTTCTGTCGCCCCCCTCCATTACTTTCGTAGGTGTCACTCGATGCGTCGATATAAGTAAGCATGATATTATAATCGACTAATCGTTTGTAAACAACCGGTAATCAACTGTGCTCATCAGCTTTCTCGTCAAGTAGTTTCTTAAGAAAGTATATGTATATATTTACCTGCTTCTTTACCAGATTAATTAATCAATCAATAAATTATATATATAATACCTTCAAGGGTGCCTCATGCTTAAAGGGACTCTTTTAACTTCTAAAAAAATGCTTAAAATATTTGTCACTTTAATTTAAAAATAAATATACGAATAAGTACCTACTCCAGTTTCCCGACTGGAAATTAGTTCAGAGAACCCGGATTATGATCAGATGCGGATCAGATTTACCGTAATACGGGCATCTGATCAGTTTCTGATCAGAGTACAGTACTTTATCCGTTGATCCACCCATCTGATCAGTTTCTGATCAGAGTTCAGTACTCTATCCGTTGATCCACC